GCTGAGCACCCTGTGCAGCAGGATGCAGTATGACCAGTGGTAGGACGGAGCTGCTCAAGAGCTGGGACGCATCCAGCCCATGCTCCTTGCCTCTGCCCTGAGCTGGGTACGGAAGCTCATGCCAGACACAGCTGCTGCCCTCTCCCCGGCAGGGAGCTGCCGAGGGAAAGCACATGCATCCCGAGGAGCTGCTCAGCGGTGCCAGGTGGCATTTGGACAGTGTTTCTGCTCCAAAAAACAACCATAACATGGTAGCCCTGGGAGCTCATGTTTACAGTTCCAATGATTCCACAACAAACGCTGCAGGTTTACAAATGAAACTGTCCCCGGTCCTGCAGCCTCCCCAGTCTTTGCTGAAACAGTTTGAAGCTGGATCCATTTTGCATGTCGCCACCAACAACAAAGACTCTGCCTGCCAAATTACACCAATGGCTCCCCGCTACTTCACAGCGTTGTCCGCAAAAACATTTTGCAGTGTCCTTACTTACCAACACCTCCTCCCTGGCACCCTTTCATCCCCGCTGCCTTCAGCTGGGACTCTGCAAACAATTCAGTAATAACACAGCACCAAACCCCAAATCCAGCTGTCTCCTCTTACCTACTTACACTCTCCAGAGCTAGCAGGAATAAAAAGCCAGGAGCTCACTCCTATCTCTGAAGTCAGCAATTTTGCTTCTGAAAATACAGAGAATAGATTTGTTGGGCAGGAAGGTGGCATTTTTATGGTTGCTTTTCTGTGCTTACAAGTTTTGCTTTTGCTCTATAAAGCTCCTCACTCCTCCTGAGGCTGAGCCATGCCATTGCCCAGGGCGCAGCTGGGACAGCACAGTGAGCTGCCACTGGGGGCTCATTGCCACCACTGGGCAGGGACGCTCCTTCCTCAGTAGGGTGACCCCCTGATCAGGCAGCGTTTTGCAGCACCTCTGCCCCCGTGCAAAGACCCTGTCCCACTCCTGATGAGTGAGGTGAGCAGCACATCCTCTCCCGCCTCGGCACTTATCCGGTGCGACTAAAGCTGGACCTTCAAAGGAGCTGCCTGCCCTGCACCACCCAGCCTGGCAGCGGTCTACTTCAGGGGGAACAGGCACTGCAGGAAGCAAGCCCCCCCCTTCACCCCCAGCCTGGTTAAGCAGGACACCATGCACAGGCTGGGGAGGCTGGAAGGAGCAAGAAGGCAGCGAGATGAAGAGGGTTTGCAAGCAGCATGGAGAGACACCAGCAGCTACAGTCAAGGTCAGTCCTCATGGAGAGCAGGGAGGAGGAGCCGCAATGGCCCCTGGAGGGAGTAGTTTAAGGAGGGGGTGATGCCAGAGCCCCTTTCCGGCACCTGGGATGACTGGGCTACATGCACCGCTTACTACGTGCACCAGGCACAGCGGCAGGGTGTGGGGTGTTTTGGTGTAAGGTTTCTGCAGGTTCTCCGGGTGCTGCGAGTGCTTCTGCACGTGCCGCTTTCCCAGGCACTTGTGTGGGAGCGCGAAGGCTGGCGGCTGGTTGGGACTTGAAAGCTGGTTGTTGGTTTTCCTACAGGGCAGACATGGCTGCTTGGGAGCAGGTTTGTTACAACTTGCAGAACCTAAAAACTCTCCGAGTCCAAGCCAAGAGGCCTGACACTGGCATTAAAGGCCATAGCTGGGTGCAGAAGTAAACAACTATTCTGAGGGTGCACTGGAGCATAACCAGGTATGTCAGCGTACAGAAACATGGTTGCATGCAAGCGTCAAAAAGTCTCTGTCATTGTGAGATTTCACAGCCTTGATTTTTTAATGTTTAGGTCCCCGAAGGAAGTATCTGATGGAGGAATCTCAAAGCGCCTGGCACTACCTTCAGCCAAATCACTTGCATCTTTGCGCTGGAGCAGGCCTGGAGGAGAATGGTGTTTGCTATGGAGCATTCGGAGTCCCAGCAAGCGCTGACGCATGCCCCCCCCCGATCCTGCACGCCCTGGCACGCAGTGGCACCTTTCCACAACTGCCCGGCAAAGGGGATGCCAGCTCCCACAGCTGACTGGGAGATCATGCTCTCCCCTTCCCTGTGCCAAGGTTGAGCATCCCAGCGTAGGGCTGCAGATGCTCCTGCCCTCCCACACAGGGCAGCAGGGGATCCCCAGCCCCTTCCCCAACACCATTTTCTCTTCGCTGCGCAGCAGGACTGGGCACAGGCTTTTTGCTGCGGCCCAGTCCCTGCGAGGTGACCCGCAGGGAGGGTGGGAGAGGCACAGGGTCCCCGATGGCAGCAGCAGGTGGGAGAAAGGTGCATCCAGGGGATGCCTCTGCCCACCTGAAACCAAAATTGCCCTCGGAAGTGCTTCTTCTCACCCAACATAGACCATACAGAGTCAAGGGGCCTGAAGGAGGTGCCTTGGGTTAGCAGGACAGGCAGCAGTCCCAAGGATTTTATAAAGGACTTGGGAAGCGAGGATGCATTTCGAGTGTAGAAAAAGAGTGGAACAGTCAGTGTGGAGGAAGCGCAGGGTGAGCAGCCCTGATCTGTCACACCTGCCGGACACAGCCCAGCACACACTGATTCCTGCATGCACTTATCCACAGCACCTCTCCAGGAGCACTCTTTATCACATCCACACCTTCAAAGTAAATACTACAAAAGTTATCCACACTGATCTTCCAGAAATGGGTACCCACTGTCCCAGATGTAACCCTAATTAGAGAGCACTGGAACGAGGAGAGCATGTTCGACACTCCTGCTCCAACCGGTTGCTCTGCTTGGAGAAGGAAACAGTACCTCCAGCAAAACAGCCCCTTTCCAGCTCACCCACCTGTCACGCCTGCGCAGGGTGATCCCATCATCACAAAGCTGTGCCTCAGCCAGCACCTTGCTCTGGTTATGCAGCCAACCTAGTTTTTCCAGCGGTGGGTGCAGCCAAAGGGAAAGCCCGCGGCAGCTGGCAGGGCTCCTGCCGCCCCCGGCCGCAGCACAGGGCCATGCTGACACCCAGTGGAAACCACGGTGAGACACCCAGCAGAGGGAAACACCGCGGCCAAAATCTTTTCCGTCTGCTATGCTACTAAATAGAATGGAAAAATAAAACTTGGTTAGCAGGAAAACATCGGAGCCCTGCCCTCAGCAAGAAAACAGAATTGAGTAGTAAAATGAAATAGGGATTAGATATGCTTTCTGGTCATTTCTCTCTTTAGGATACTTATACCACACCCGACGAAAGGAGAGATGAGGTTGTGCGATACGCCAGAGCTTACTGGGAGGAGAAGGACTCGGAAGCGCTCATGCACTTTGCAGTACTGAACACAGTACCTGGGATAGAAACTTCCCAGGGAAAACGGCGACTGTGATTGCCCACAACCTCCCCGCTGGCTCTGGGGGTACCACGGGGTGCTGTGAGCAGCACCCTACTCCCTTGCCCTCCCTCCACACAGCCCCAGCCAAGGCCTGGATAGTTTTCAGCAGCGAGGCTGTAGCTGCCAGCTGTGGTGCCTGCACTAGCTGCCATCACAGGGGACTGGAGGCCAGGGGAAGGTTTCTACTCCTGCCTCCGCAGATACCACGAACCGAACTGTTAGTAGCAGCGGCAACAGTGATGGCTAGCTGGTTCCTGGCAGGTGAGGACTTGATTTTTAAATAGCTATTGGGCAAGATTTACAGTCACAGCACAAACATTTTATACACACTCGAAAAAGTTTGGGTTTGGTAAAAGAAAACAAAATCCACTCCAAACAAAAACAACTCCTTTGCGTATTCAAGGATCACACTATTACCATGCGCACAGAAAACTGAAACATCTGGCAGCTGCACTACTTGCACACAGTGTTTTTCCTGAAGGATGTGGATGCTTTGGGATGCACACCCTGCACAGCACAACAGCTGAAGGGATCAGGGAAACTCAGGCACCCCAGAAGACCCAACTTCTGTTTTGCTGGGCACGGCTGGGCACAGAAGCTTCTGTTTTGCACAAAGTCACTTGGTCTTTTACATAGTCTGCACAAGTACAGATCTTACACGCGACATGAGCTTGAAGCAAACACAGAGACAGTGTTTTACACATCAGAGGTATAAAAGCGAGGTGTAAGCAGGGGACCGGCATGCCTCAGCTCTGTTCAGTCTATTTGCCTCTTGTTTGGATTACAGTATATATTAGCAGATTTCAAAACCACTTTTACAGCAGAAAAGATACAGTACAACAAACTCTACTTCCACCTGTATCTCTTGGAGAAAATGCAGTAATTAGGGCTAGGTTAGCGATGCAAAGTCTGGGCATGCAGATACACCTGCCTTCCCCAGAGGTGAGCAGCCCATCAGTGCACATGGAGAATAAAAGTTCCTTAAAACACAGAACACAAATTTGTGATGCTTGCTGCTTCAGAGAATTTACGCTTGAGAATATTTAGAGGTTTTACAGTTGAGATCTTTTTTTAAATTATAAACAATGCTGCCAGTGTCTTAATTAGTCTTTCTAAAAATGTATAAACATCCCAAATAACGTGAAATGAAAGAAAACAGACAACTCCCAAGATCTTCAATTGGATTTAGCGTTCTGGGTATTTAATTAAGGATGTGTTCCTTCATAACCTCCATTTCACAAGTTATCTCAGTACCATCCTGCTGATCAAAACTGGGCTACAGCTACATTTGATTTTCAAAGTCAGCCTCCATACCTGTGATTCTGTCAAACCCAATTTACTTGTTGGGAAATGAGTAGTGGAAAAACCCGCTTTTATTTTCCTCTGCATTTTTTCTGACTTAACTTTTTATACCTTTAGTACAAACGAAAGCCATGATACTGACTTCTAGATCAAAGTTACTTTGAAAAACGTCTGAGCAGTATTATTTTAAAGACATTGGCCTGAAGTCATTTGTAAAGACAACCTCTGCTCCCTAACGAACTGCGGTGCAGTTTCCCCACAGAAGGTACCTGTTTCTCCCCACAGGGCACTACTCAGCTAACTCACACCAGAAAAGACATACATGAACCACAAAGAGACATTTGCAAAGAGACTTTTAGTTGTATCAAAATCAGTTCATCTTACAGCATGTAAAGCAGGAGCGGTCCGTGATTACAGCACCAGACTGGGAGTCACGAGATCCAGCTTGGCCTCAGGTTACGTGACCTTCAGCGAATTCCTTAGTCTGAAAGAGAGATAAAGCCGTGGATGCTGGTGGGAGATGTTCTGTGAAGAGCTCTGTGGTTCTGAGCTCAAAGCCACTAACAGGGTGCAAAGTATTTCACAAGCTCCTTGGTTACATGAATTTATCGAAGTACCTATTTTAAAGGAAGGGACAAATAAAGGAAGAGGAATTTGCATTCTGAGATGGTCAAACAATATACACATAACACAGCAGATACAGAAATTATGAAGACTTCCACGCTGCCCCTTGCTAACTGGTGTAGTAAACAAGGAAAAGCCTAATTTCCATGGGAGAAGCAGCCCATTCAAAACAGCGTTTCTGCCCCCTAATGAATATTCAATGGAAAGGCAGTCAGGTAGCTAAACGGGAGGTGAATGAGTGTCAGCAACCACTGCTGCTAATATCTTAGAGAGCAGGCAGCAGCCAGTGCTGCACCGAGTGGCAAGCGCAGAGCCTGCCCAACTGCTGTGCCTGCCATTGAGCCAGTGCCGTCCTTGTGGCCTCTCCTCCATAAAGCTGTGAATATTCTGTATTTGCTCTACTCCAGAATAAAATTAAATCACTGGGGTTTGGGGCTTGTCATGGTGCTTTATATTTTGCATGAAAGAAAGGAACAAGTGTGTACTGGAAACTCACCTACATAGGCAGTCTTGCTACCTGTCCGGCTTGATTTTATCGGTGTAATGATCCTGAAACAGAATAAAATAAAAATTGTAAATACTTCATTGTGCAAGAAAGCCAAAGCTAAGAAGGGTTAGCACTTGTGGTTTAATTCTAGTCACAAAGACTACAGTATTTTGAGATTGGCCTCACTGAAAAAATCTACCTCAAACCTTTCTTAGGGCTAGCTCCCCTATTTCCCCTCCCGAGGATATGGCCATGGGTGGCCAATTCCCTCTGGCCACCTCCCAAACATGAATGAAGTCAAGTTTTCGCAGCCTTTTTGCCTCCTCACTGCCACTATGGCTCCTCCTGAAGCCCATGCTTCCAAGGCAGAGGTCCCACCTAGACCTACAGCAAATGAGATTGAGAGGCAGCTGTTAGAAAAGCTACTGGCTTTAAAACAAGTTAAACTACTCAGGGAAGAACCCTGAGCAGCATAGTGCCAGTGTAGCCAGTGTTGGGCACATGTATTACTTTGCCTCCTGTAGACTTCTCTGAGATGTAAGCCTCCATTGATATATTCTAGCAGCTGTGCTTAAACCACAGGAGAAACAAATCTGAGAGCCCATGTTTCCTAGGGAGGCCTTTACACACCCAGAAAAAAATCCTGGAATTTGATCAATCCTAAAAAAGTACAAGTTCCTGCGCCAGATACTGTTGACTGTTGCAAGACTGGCAAATCCGGAGCACGCGATATTTAACACCCTTCTTAAATTTTCATTGTATAAAATGCTAATTTTAAACCAAAACTATACAACAATGACAATTCAATGAGGGCAGCAATTTTCTAAGAGTTTTGGTCATGAAGGATAGTGAAATTGGGCATCTGATATGTAAACTCAGCACTGCTAAGAACAGAAACCAGCAACTGAAGAACACAAGGGTTTATTTGTTTAAAAACATCTATCTATAATACAAACACAAACCAAGTTGGCTGCCTTGATGCTATGCGTAAAAGAGAAGATGATAAAAAGCATAAGGTGACATGCCTTCTGTGATAGCTAGAGGGAGGACTTAATTTACAAACAAAGTTGTCTTTTTTCACATTGCTTTGCTGCTGCATGAAGCCCAAGGGCGTGCACGTTCAGTGCAATACACACACAGGTGTGCAAATACACATCAAGTTCTAAAACCAGCAACGAATAACCTAACATTGACTGGTAATTGCTACGTTAACCTTTCCTGTAATTTATAATGTGTGTTTATATACCTCTGTATGCCTGTAGAGACACCCACTGTCAAATATGCTACAAGACATGGATTATATGCACTGGGCATTTACTAAACTGGCAAAGCAGCTGGGGCACAGATAACTCATTAACCAGGGCACAGCAGGATCCAGAATCGCCACTGACACTTTTTGGAAGAAAAACCACCGTCATTTGCCAACGGCCGGCGGAGATCTGGCACAAAGCCCTGGCGCTGCTCAGTAACCGGACGAATAACGCAATTAGCTACGAGATTTACAAGCCCTGGTATGCATGAAATGTAGAGCCAATTCTCGACATACTAAACCTAGAGTGATGCACAGGGCTGTGCACAAAGCGATGGCAATGACCACCAGCGGGGAGAAGGTAGGAGCGGGTGGCTGTTGCCTTTTGGCTGGCACATGGCAGCAGAGTGACCACGAAAGGCTTTGGCAGAGGGGCTGGGCTGCAGCACGCAGCCCCCAGCCTTCCCCAGGCAGCAACGATGGGGTCAGAGGAGCCAGAGCAATTGAGTTCCCCCATTCCTAGGAAACAAGGGGAAAAAAAGCACTGAAAGTTCCCAAGGGATGGTCCTTAACAAGGCAGAGAGGTGCCGACTGCCACGGGCTGGCAGCATGGGCAGTGTCCCCTTTATAAATCACATGCCACTTCCCATGTTCAAAATGGCATCAAAATTTTAATAGCTGCTGTTAAAAATCATTGTATGGAGTAGGAAAATAAATTGCATTCAAAAAGAGACTGCCTCGCCGCAGGCCGTCCTTGTTGTCCCAGTGCCAAGCTTGTGCTTTTCACATGCAGCAAGGAAACAAAAATAAATGCAATGTGTAACCCTCCTTTACATACGTGTGACAGCTGTGCTGCGCAAAATACAAGTTTTAACGGAGAAGCTTCTGCTTTGCTTCTCTGTGCAAGTTCTCACTCTGGTCACACACCCTGAAAATTGTTAAGGAAAAGTAAAAAAAATGTTAACCAATGACTTCCTGCTTCCTGACGGAGATCAAAACACATAGTCAAAACAATCTTTAAATGCATCTAAAAAATAAATATGGCTCATATGGGCCGCTTTCCACCCTAGAGCCATAAAGACTCGATACTCCTGCCTAATCAAAGCTCCTATCAAATTAGTCATAAAAACCCACAAACCCAACATTACTAGCATAGTTTGAGGCCGGTGTAACGCACCCCCTCCGAAACCCTCCTTAAGTCATGCTGCATAGCTGGAGCGTAAGCGTTCAGAGGTCAGGCCATCCTCGGGAAGGAATAAATCAGGAAGGGCACATGGGAGAGAGACAAGGAAATACCACTGCCAAACGGGCCCCAGACCCTGCGGCCAAGGGCAGCAGCCCAAGCCCGGGTCATCCTGCACCGTGGGCCCCGGCAGCCAGCTCCAGCTGGAGCATCCTTGCTTTGCAGGACGAATCCCTTGCAAGTTTTACAGTAACATAAACCAGATTCGTCTGGGAAGAAGATGGTCTGTCTCCCAAAACTGTCAGCGACACTTTCTGCTTATCCCAGCTCCAAGCTTAGTCCAAAAAGCCTGACTTTTTTTTTTGCTTGAATCTAAAAACACAGCTGAAAACATATTCTGGGATCTGCTCGAACTTATTCACAGCAATGACCGACAAAACAGAGTATTTTACTTATAACAGCACCAACTTTTACATTTTTAGGGCAGCAACCCCAGTGGTTTAACACACACTCCAGATGGCTGCAAAAACAAGCAACAGTAGAACATAACACCTTTTGTACCACGCCTTACAAGAGTAAGATGATGCAGGAAAACAAGAGTTTGGCTGAAAGATTATGGCTTTTCATTACCAAAAATAACGAGCTCATTCCACTTAATCTCTCATTTCTGAGACTTTGTTGCACTTGCTTAACTTCTTCCTCCGCAGCAGAGATGGAATTCACCATTTCCTGGTGAATGAATAGAGAGATGCTTTCGGAATTATTTTGATTCAGAAACAAAAGCCTCCTGGGCTTCTGCAGAACTGCTACATGACTGCAGATTCATATTTCATGCTGGTTTAAGTTCACCTCAAGTATTTCCTACAAGAGTGTAGCTTTCCAGAGAGGACGACTTCTTGCCAGCTGTGCTGGTGGTGTTTCATAAGGACAGCTGAAGAGCGGGATCAACAAGGGTGAGGAAAATCAACAAGGGTGACGAAGATAATCAGTGGAAGATTTTGAAAACACATGGAAAGCTGCACCATACTACAGCACAGGATCCTTCACAAGAACTTTGTTTTTCTAACACAAACTATAACGAACCACCCTGGGACAGAGTTTCTTACACTTCACTGTGATATGGCAGCACACAAAAAATAGTGTAAATACCTTTGATATCTGCTTGATTTTATTTTTAAAAGCAGAAAGGAAATTTTTTTCTGGAAACACTCTGGCTATTCATCGAGATGATTAATGACATGGCAAAGAGCCCTTTTTTCTTTTATTAACTGAAAAGGTATACACAGATACATCAAGTATCTCAGAACTGCAGACTGCACCAGTTGCTGAGAAAATTTAAGCCCAAAGACCTAACAACAGAGGACAGAAATCTAAACATATCCAATTAGGGACAGACAGCCCAGGAAAGGCCTTTCCAGAGACAGACGTCTTCCATTACAATCACTTTTAAATTAAAACTTAAATTTGTAAACAATTAGAATGCCTGTTTCTGCCGAATAAGCCCTCTCCTCCGCAGGGCCACCTTTATACCCTTCCATCACCACTGAGTCCCCGCGTGCAGAGCTTCCCAACCCTTCCCGTGGCCGTCCTGCTCTGCAAGCCAGACCCGCAGCACCAGCTTTCATAGCCACGACGGTTTTCCCTGGTCCTCAGACCATATTTTCCCTTTCTAATGATATCCACCGGTCCCTCATGAGAACATCCCGCGCCTTCCCTTACACTTCCCCGGTACAGAAGCCTGGCACAGCCAGAGGAGGCTGCGCAGGCAGCGAGGGCAGCGCTGGGTCCCACGGCATCATCTTATCATGACAGAAACTGGGAGCGAGGTTTTTTTTGCTCTCCTCAGCTTAAAGCACCAGAAAACTTATTCTCTTCCCCATGGTTAATCCTACACCCCCCCAACGAATAACACAGCCTCTCACTCCCATGTACATTTAGGGTCAGCTTTTGAATTGCCCAGTTCTTGCCCCAGCAAGGGAAAGAAGTTATTCTGAGTATCAGCACCTAGCTGGGGGAGCTTTCGCACAAAGATAATTATCATTGCACAAAGATAACTATCATTTAGAGAGCAAGATCAGGCAAAATCTCCCCCATGAGTTCCAACTGCCTTTGCACAAAGAGAGGTTAAGAATAGCAAAGGGATGATTCAACAGAGCACTGCTGGCATCGGCCTGTGCAGCTGCCAGCGCAGCCCGGGCCGGGGAACGGGGCTACCTCCCTTCCTACCAGGGCAAAGATCGGCTTTACCGCCTCCAAACACCCAGGACAGCCGGCGTCGGAGGATCGTTACCCGCACAGCGAGCAAGGCCTCTGAGCAGATGCTGAGTGTCAGAGCAGAGGCACAGCGGAGGGAAGCAATAAGGCTCGGGTCACAAGTGCATAAAACCAAAATGTGCCAAAAAGTAACCTGTCTCTGTACGGCAGGTTTGTAAAGACACAGGAGAAGGGAGGGGAAGAAAACTGGTGTAAACAAATGGAAGAGCAAGCCTGGTTCCTGCTTCAAGTTGAGCTGACTGCTTAACAAGAAGGAGACAACCCCAAGCTGATGCACGAGTCCTGGGCGAGCCCACGGGAGCCAACACAGGGTATCACCCCTCGCGTGGGTGCTCAGGACCCACGGCATCCCAGAGGCCACATCCTGCAGTCGTTAGCTGCTGCAATACAAATAACCCTTACAACACACTACTTTTTTTTTTTTAACTCTAACTCCCATCACATGCCAAGATGCTGATACGGATACAGGAAGCTGAATATAAACACATTGCCTGCTTTACCAAATATTCAAAGGAACACAACTGAAAATATACAGTTGGTGCTGTCCCTGAACATCTCAAAGCTATGAACCACCCACACCCATGCTAGCAGGCTACGCTGCCTGGGGGGCCCCAGGAACCAAAGAGCTTGCAGACACAGGGTACACTGTACCCCAGGTCTAAGTTTTAAGGACCTTATCCTCCCCACAGATGCCTGGCTGGAAGGGGACCGAGCTGCTCCACAGTAACAAGTGCTAGGTCAAGGCACATGGGAATCCCGGATTCCCCCGAGCATCCTTCCTCCAGAGGACGGACGTACCCCCACTGTGCTCCCACCTCCCCTGGGTACCCCCACCTTCCCGCTTCTACCTACCTCCGAAAAACCCCACAGAGAATCCTACTGCAACTCAGTCACTGTGAGGACTTTTGTTACTACCTCTGCTCTTTCTGCTACTTCTCATTAATCCTTGCAAAATACAGAGTGAAAACTTTTTGCTCATGTCATTAGTATTTTCTCTTCTCCCTCCCTTCTACATTCCTCTATAGGTTATTGCTGAGAGCAGAAAAGATGTGATTTCAGAATAGACCACAGTGTTGAATGCAGGATGAACATTCAGCTTCAGAAAAATGAGGTCTAGTTGTGTAATATTGCAAAATTCAGAAAATAGCTGCACGATTCCAGCAGTGATTAATGTGGAGCAAATCCCGAGAGTCGTCAAACATCTGCAGCTTCAATTTCCCAAGAAATGGCAAGTCTACAACTACTTTCAAGATCTGGGGAACTTGCTTTCCACTTCCATTAAAGCTAATGAAAGTTTCACTACCGATTCCTACCTCTGCACAACAAGGGCATTTCTGTGCTAGAACATGAGACCTGCGAGCTCTACCCATTCCTATAGTTTTTGTAAGCACAGATGAATTTGCAGCAATACAATCCTCCCAGGAATACTGCTCCATAGCTTGGCCAAGGTTGCGGTGATGTTTCCCATGCTAACTATAAGCTGCTTGGAAAGTACTTCTTTCCGTCCTCATGAAGCCAGCTCCTGAGATAATCTCGCTCTGGCACAGGGGACAAAGTGAAAGGGCTGAGGGTGAGGATTTCTGGGGCTCTACCACGAACTTTTGCAGGAATTTGAATTTGCTTTTGCAACAGAGCCTAATCAAAGGATGATGCATCAGGGTTTGGGAAGCTGTAGCCGGGAAAGAAGCACGTTCCCACCCTGCAGAGCTCTTACGTTTAGCATCTTCCACAACAGACTCAACGTTTCAGCAACACTTGCAGGGATTACGGAGCCATCACCATGCTACTGTCTGCATCCCAGACTTCGCAGCGCTGCAGAGAACTTCTCGTGAATTTGGCTCAAATATACTGAGTCTTTTGAGGAACAGAGCCTAAGAAATTAAGAACTTTCAGTATTCATAAAAAAAGTTATTGTATAGCCACAGAGACATATACCTGAAACAAAAGAAGTATCTGAAACCTACAGCACAACTCGATATTTGCATTAAAGTATAATGCCAGTGAGAGATGAGAGGTGCTGGTTCTGACCAGTGATGCCTGCTGTTTGGGAGCCCTCAGAAACTTCTCCAAATAGCAAGAGAGCTTAATTTTTAAATGAAGGTGATCCCATCAGCTGGGTGATTACGCAAGTGAGCTTGTCTGCAGCACTAGACCCCATCCATTGTTCTTCTTTAGAGTTTGTTTGCCGCTTTAGTGCTTGATTAAAGATATCCTAAATGACTGTAATACGTTCAACGCAAGGATGAAATACGGGATTGAGAAGTCATTAACTACATACTAATCCCTCAATCTCATTTAGTGCTACTGGAGTAGCATAAAATGCTACTGCTGTCCAGTACTCGCTATTTACTCACAGAATTTTATTTCTAAACCAATTTACAATCAAGATAAACGCAAACAAGTAACTTGTCACTGATGCTATTAGCTATAAGTCAATAGAAATGCCGACTAATA